ACAGTCAACACTCTTGGCACCAGTAGCCCGGAAATTAAAAGGCGCATTGCCATGGGAAAGTCTGCTGTTAGGGACCTCTCCAAAGTACTGGAGAGCAATGGTGTCTCTCTGGGGACTAAGATGCATGACCTCTCCAAAGTACTGGAGAGCAATGGTGTCTCTCTGGGGACTAAGATGCATCTGATACAGGCCATGGTCTTTGCAATCACTTGTTATGCATCAGAGAATTGGACAATGACTAAGGAGGATAGAAGGAGAATTGATACCTTTGAGCTGTGGTGCTGGAGAAGAGTACTGAGTACCATGGACTGCCAAGGAAACAAACAGATTCATTCTGGAAAAAGTTAAACCGGGTGGCTTCTTGGAGGCAAGGATTTTGAGACTCCGTGTAACATACTTTGGACATGTTGTAAGGAGAGACCGGTCCTTGGAGAAGGACATCATGCTTGGGGGGTTGGAGGGACTGTGCAGGAGGGGAATGCCCTCTGTGAGGTGGATTGACTCAGTTACTGGGATAATCGGCATGGGAATGTCGGAAATAGTGCGATTGGCACAGTACAGAGCAGAGTTTAGGGCTGTTGTACATAGGGTTGCTGTGAATTGCAGGCGACTCGATGGCACATAACAACAACAACATATCAAGAAGATAGGCTTATCCTGATAACATGACCAAATTGACACAGTGATTATAGCTATATATTTAAGCACAACAGATTTTTGAGGAAGGTGCATCGATCTGGCAGACTTTTGTTCTGCTGTAAGTCAGAGGCAACTCCTTGGTACTTCACACCAGCACCACCACCAATATCAAGAAGATAGTAAAGAGTTCTCCAGCATTCTGTTGCTTAGTTAATGAGTTGTGTTTCTTATTTAGGTTTAGATTGTTTTTCAGCTTTTGCTTCCTTGGTTTTGTGTGAGCAAGTGCTGTATTAATAGGCTTGAATACAATTGAAAGTTAGTTAGATTTTATTATTTACCTTCATTTTAATGTTACGATTAATACAGAATAAACAATATCTTCATATAAAGGCATTCCTTTTAGTTTTTTAAATTTTCTTATAAATTTACTTGAGTTACCTATTTTTGTTGTTGTACATCGCATTATGAGGTTTGTTAGGGAACTCAACAGGCTGAGTTATTTAGGCTATTCAGGTTAGCAGTTGGATACAATCTTTCAGTTCTGGCAGCTTTGTAAGTCTGGTCATCTTTTACTTTCATAATTTAAGTCCTTATTACCAGATTCCCTTACACCAGTTACGGTGTCTTCATTCAGTCCTTCAGCAAGCTTGGGTTAAAGATCTGTGTGATTGGTTCCTTGAGGCAGTGATCCCAAGTCAGCAATTCTTCAATCATCCAGCAAGCAAAGCCTTTAACTCTGTCTCTGTTTCAAGGGTTTCTGCCCCTGTCTCTGCCTCAAGGGCCAGACCTGGCTCTGTCCCATTTAGTCAAAAGCAAGACACAGTCTCTCAGTTAATCCAGGCAGCTTCTCAGCAAGATACTTTTGGAGAAGGAACCTCTGTTGCAGAAGGATACACACTGCTATCTCTGCTGCTGCTTCTTTCCTGTCCAGGTTCCCAGTTTAGCAGATTACCACTGAATTTGATGGTGAGACTAGCCAATACCCTCTGGATAGGCTAACATGTCCTTTGATAAAGAAATGGTTTATACAACTTTTGATGACATGGGCGGGCCGTCGCATGCAGGGCAGCTGGATCAGCTTAACATGCTTTCAGGTTGGAGCTGAGGCAGCTATCAAACAATAATTTTATTATTGCTGTTGTGTGCTGCTGTTGTTGAGTTGAAACTGACCCATAGCTGACATTCTGGTGGGTTTTCAGAGGCAGTTAATTTTACAGGTAAAGATTGCCTATCTTCCTTCCTCCTCCTCTTCCTCTGGAGATTCTGGTGGATTAGAACCCTGTGAGTTAGGTATTGCAGCACAGCTTCTTACCACTAGGCCAACAGAACTCTTTTAAATTCTTTTTCTCTTTAAGAAAGCCATTTTCAGGCACACAAGGCCATAGCAACCGACCCACTACACCAAAAGGAAGACATGCATTTCAATGTCTATCTTCTTTTTCTCTAACAAAGCTGCTCCTCCCCTGCTCCTGTCCTCATCATCTTTTAAAAATTTTTTCACACTGTTTCATATCTCTACATTAGGTCTTAGAAAATTAATCACCATTAATCTATGCACACTATTATCCTTTCTTTTCAGATCCCCACTATTTTCCTAATTACTGAACCCCACTTACCAAACTCTACAATCCTATAATATTTTACCTTTCCCCACTCTCTGCTCCTTTGAGTTACCTGTAATTTTAGAAATATTTAATTGGTTTTGAATGAGTCCTATGTAGTGTTTGAAGAAGGTGAATATGTAATTATTAACTAAAACAATTTTTTTAGTATAGTTGGAGAAAAACAGGAGTATATTTGTTTTAATTCGTAATTAAAACAAAGTGGTTGCCTTTAGAATATACAGTTGCCCATTCAACTAATACTTGAATTCCAGCCTTTTCCCTTCATTTTATTACTAATTATTATGTTTAGTTTGTATTATAAACAGAATGTACACTTGAATAAATCCACACCTGAAATATGATTAAATGCTGTGATTAAGATCTGATGTGTTCCACTTCACCTCTGGCCGAGCCCCCTCACTTCGTAGAACACATCAGATCCACCTTGCGGTTCTTAAAAAAATACCCACACCCAACTAATGCACTGTTTCCTGAAAATAAAACTCTACTCTACAGAAAAAATGAAGATGGCTTATGGGAAAAGAGCTCCTCTTCATGAAGTGAAAGCCAAGAATTACCAAAGAAAGCAACTTTTTATCCTGACAGAGACCCAAGCTGCCCCTTGACCAGCAGCAGCATCGCAGAGACGGTGGCCTCCCAGCCCGGGCTGCCCACTGCCCCTCCCGCCCGGCGGGCCCCCTCGGGGAAACATTGAGTTTTTAGCAATTCTTAAAATGCACATTACTTTTTACTTGGAGTAGTAAATAAGATTTTTTAATATTTTTTAGAGTTTTAATATAAATTTTACATATTTTATAGGTTATAAAACTTAAATTATTTCTAGTACCAAAATTTAAAAGAATAAGAAGATTTTTTTAACACGTTGCTGTGAATGACAGTATAAAAAAAAGTGTGTCTAATTGGTCGTCAATTAAAAGTGTGCGGCAATGTGTTATTCAACTAAGTGTCAAATCATTGATTTCTCTTGAATAAATGCTTTTGATAGCTTTTACTATACCTTCTATTTGTTAGAAATAGACGTTATTATGCCCCAAATCAGCATTTTAAATTTTTAGGATTATGAGGTCTGTGCTTAATGTAGTTATTGATTTAAAGAATATTTTGTTTATTTGTTTGCTATTCTTAAATATTAAAGAATAATTATCACATAGGCAAATATTCTTAATCTTTTGTTATAGGTTGGATGCATCATACTGTGGATCTCTTAGGAGATAAAGCCACCAAGGAAAGTTATGCTATTCAGTATCTCCAAAAGTCATTGGAAGCAGATCCTAATTCTGGCCAGTCCTGGTATTTCCTCGGAAGGTAATTCTTCTCTGATAATCATGTTTTGCTTTTGTTAACTAACTACTTAAATTCCATCCTTCTGATTTCTAATATTTTAATTTCTACAGAGAAGTAATTTCTCATTTTGCCTCATAACTATGATTCAGACTATGATTCCAATTGGAATCTTCCCATTTATAAATTTAATTTAGTGATAAATAACCCTCTTGTTTGTTGTTAGGTACCCTCGAGTCAAGTACAATTCAAAGCTACCCTATAAACAAAAAATCTGAACCCTGTTCTGCCCTGTGCCATCCTTACACTTCCTGACACAAGAAAGAGCCCATTGCAGCATTCACCATGTCAGTCCACCTGGTTGAGGGACTTCCTCTCCTTTGCCGATGCTCCACCCTTCCCAGCATCATTTCCCTCTCCAAGGAATAGCCCCTCCTAGCAACCTGCTCAAAATATGTGAGGGGAAGCCTCATCATCCTTGCCTCCAAATAGCACTCCAGCTGTACCCCTTACAACACGTATCTGTTTGTTCTCCTGGTCACTCATGGGATGTTTAGTGCTCTTCTCCAACACCCAGCTGAAAGGTGTCAGTTCTTTTTCTGTCATCCTTATACATTGTCCAGTTCTTAGATGCATAACAAGTGATCGGAAATACTATGGCTTGAATCAGGCACACCTTATTCCTCAAACTGACTTCCCTAGCATGGATATAATAGAATAAGAATAGATCTTAAACAATAGTTCATGAACCAGGAGGTAGTAGGCCTCCCCTCCCCTCCCGCAATTGGTTAGAAGAGTGAACATAGTACAAAAAGACGTAATGTGGTAAAAAGTAGATTCCTGCAAATCGATGTAATCTTTTCTGGATACTCTTCTTGCTTTCATTGTCTGTTGTATTTATTAAATATCTGAACTATATGCACTTTTCTCATAGATTGTATTTTTAAATCATCATCAAACTGTATTTTGGTTCCTAATCACTTTTACCTTTCATCTTAGGGTGGACTAATCAATGTATTAGGAGATAAGAGAGTTGGATTTAAGCCTTAGTTGGGCTACTATTTGTCAGTTCATAGATGTTAGAGTTAAATCTCTTGACACGTCAGTTTTCTTTATCCTATTAAATAATTGTACAATATCAGTGATTCTCAATAACGGATAATGTTGCACCATAAGAAACATTTTGTACTGTCTAAAAACAGTTTTGGATATTAAAACTGACCATAAAGACATCTAATAGGTAGAATAAGTGGTTGCTATTAAACATAACAGAATGGACAGGATAGCTTTCCATGAAAAAGAATTATCTGATCCAAATGTCAGTAGTTCTGATTTGAAATAAGTTACTTTTCTAATTGTAAAGTTTCATTTTTATATTTTGTATTAATTGTAAGCTTTGTTCCTTTCATTTTTGCATGTGTGTTATAAAAATCACATTCCATTTCAATTTTTTTTATAATTCAAATTTAGGAAAATGTTAATGTGAGAGTACATTACACGGTTTTTCTTTAGAAGTATTTACTTCTTCATTAATAATATACAATAAGATTTGAATGGAAAAGTATCTTTGTTGGAATAGATTTTCTAATTCCACCCCAGGCTTAGGAAAGAAAATAATTGTAACTAGATTTTCATCAGTCAATACTACTTGAGAATCTAGACTTAAAATTTTTCTTTTGCTAACAATTTTTAAGAGAAAAAACTGCATTTTTAGATTTTATTTCCTGTAAAATTGACTGTTCAATAATGAAATAAGTGGACTAGTACTACTATACTATCACCAGTGTTAGTGTTGCACAGTGTGATTCTTTATGCATTAACTATAAAGGAGGCCCAATCCTATGTGTGAAAATGTCTTTAGTTTTTATATGGACATACTTTCATACAAATAAAAATTCATAGTTTAATATAACATAATTCAACATAAATTTTTAAACAAAAATTTTACTTATTTAAAATTAATAATGGAACATTTATGTAATTGCTATATTGAGTAGTACTCTAATTTTTTACTTCAGTGAAGACAGGGGCTTTTCCCCATTTATTGATTTACATTTTAAACTATTGAGATTATTTTTTATTATTTTGATAAATACTTGCAAGTAGATAATATACTTCTGACTTCTCAAATTAAAGATAATAATCCTTTTTTCTTGGATCCAAAATTGTCGTTTTAATCATTCATAAGTTTTTCAGTTCTGTTTTAGACGGTTTTGGTCTTTTGTCACCTTTTCTGTCATCTCATGTATTGCTTCTAATCTGTTTTATTGTGAGGAAAAAAATCTGCTTATAAATAAAATTTTAGGACTTTTTAATGTTCTCAATGAAGACCATTTGGCATATGTATTATAAAGTAAAATTATAATATGGCATGAATCTTCAACTGTGTTATTCCACTAGAGTGGAATTTCCTTTGTTTTTAGGTGCTGTTGAGTTGGCTACCACTCATAAACGACTCCATATGCAACAGAATGAAACCCTGGTGTTCTTGCAACATTCTCATAATCTCTGTTGTACTTAAGTCAATCTTTGCAGTCACTGCATCACTCTACCTTGTTGAAACTATTCTCTTCCACTAACAGGGACTGACCCCTTCTGACAGCACGCCCAAAGCATGTGAAATATCCTTGCCTATGTGGAGCACTCCCGCTATTTGTTCTTTTGACAGTTCATGATGTGTAGTCAGTACTCTTCTTCAGTGTTGTAGTGTAAAGGCACCAATTCTTTGATTGTCTTATTTATTTCATAACTTTCACATGGATATTAAAAGTCAAAAGGCATTGTCATGTTGTTGAAACTGAGTTTCCAGGCTGTAAATTGCATGGAATTGACCATCTTTCTCCCTTGAACTGTTAGTAGCATCCCTGCCTTTAGTAAGTCACATAAGTAAATAACATTAGAACAGGATTCAGCTTCTAGATTAAACCAGAGCTTCTCCTAATACATAAGACTATCACAGAGGAATCTATATATATTTAATTGGAATAAAAGTAATATTAGACTTGAACATTTCTATATCAGTACATTGGCATTCTACTTTATAGTAATAAAATATATAAACATTTCGTTTATGGAAATACTGCTAACATCTCATAGCAGTTTGGCAAATTTGTGTATAAATCTGATATTGGTTCATTATTAACAATAATAAACCATGTTTTCACCTATGAATATTCTCTCTCTCTGTGTAATGGCTATCACTATTTTACATTGTTGCTAATATCTTCTGAATTTGTAAAGCAGGTTGCAGTACCTTTTCTTACAGCTATTTCTTCTGTTTCCCAATTCACAAGAGTAGTTAATTCCATAGGCTTATTTCTTTCCTTTTCAGTAAACATCCAGAGAACAGTACAGACCTTGTTTTTAGATGCCACCAAGTAAACCATGACTGAAAGCAACCCTATGAACAATAGATCTGAACCTTCCCCTCTCTTGCACCACCTTCAACATCTCTGACATACTTGAGTCCATTGTTACAGTCGCTGTGTCATTCCAACTGGTTGAGGGGTTTTTTTTTTCTTGTTCACTTGCCCTACCTCCATCTTTTCCAACATAATGTCTTCGTCTAAGGACTGGCCTGTCCTCAGAATGTGCGCAAAATATGTGACACCAAGTGTTCACCATCTTTCTCTAAGACTGACCTGTTTATTTTTTGACAGTCCATGGGCTATTCAGTACTCTTCTCCAGTACCATAACTCAAAGGAATAAGTTCTTCTGTCAGTCTTATTCACTGTCCAACTTTCAGTTTCACACAAAATAATTGCATATACTATGGTTTGGATAACTTGCCATCCCATCCTTGCTTTTTAGCACTTTGGAGAGGTCTTTGACAGCAGATTTTTCCTATGCAACATCAACATTTCTTGATACCTTGACTTGTTGCGACCATGGCTGTTGATTGTGGATCAAAATAAAATGAAATTGTTGACAACTTCCATGTCTCACAATCTGTCAAAATGTTGCCTATTGGTCCTGTATCCCCTGCTCATATTGGATCAATTGGAGATCTAGATTTCTAAACTTCAAGATATCATAAATTTCTTGCCTATGCCTCATGCTGTTGATCTAAGTTGTGGTTTTTGTTTTAAATTTTTTAATTCCCATAGAAGAGCTACCTAACCCTACCTAACTCATGATGACCTGATATGTCTTACAATAGAACTGAAGTACATAAGATATCCAGTGATTTATTTATTATTAAATAAATTTTTAAATTTAAATTTATTTTTAAAGTTCATCACTTTCTAGTTGCCTCTGATTGGACTAGAATTGCCACCTTGTTGTTTGGTAGCTGATTGTCCGTACCACTCAAGGACTACCTCGTACCAATTTAAATATCCTCACTTATGTCAGAAGTAGCATACCTCAGTCCACATTCATCGTGTTCTTCCCCAAACTAGCTCCTTATATTTTTCCAGTGATAATCAGTTTTCTCTCCCCCTCCCCACATACACTCAGCATAACATTGAATTAAAGATGTCATATACCTCAATATGTAATCAGTCAAAGTTGTTATCAGTCTTTTGGTTTGTTCTTCCCTCTTTCTCTTCTTGCCTCTTGGCTTTCTTCTGGTTTCTGACTTGTCCAAATAAATTAATTTGGAAGCCCACTTATGATATTTGTCCTTAGTCTATTTTATTTGTTGTCTACTGTGTACTTTGTTAGCAGATTGGTAATTAATAAAATGTTTTCCTCTAGGTCCTCAAACCTGATTCAACTCCCTCTGCTGCTCAGAATTCTCTTTTCTACCCCAATTACATGAAATCAAAATCCACATTTTATTAAGAGCTCATGTATACATAAGAATCATATGGGGATCTATAATACACACACACACACACACACACACACACACACACACACACACGTTGTTGTTGATTGCTGTCGAGCATGACTCAAGCCACTCTATGAACAAAAGACCTGAAGCTGTTCTATAGCTCGTCATTTATCAAAGTTCATAGAGTTTCCAGAGGCATGTTGTTTTAAGAAGTGGATACCACTCCTGCTTCCATAAATATAACAATTTGGTAGTGTTTTGACAATGTAGAGCCTGGTTATATATATAAGAGAGTGAGTATAAATGTAGATTTTCAGTAGGAGGTCATAGTGGAATGAACCTAAATGTAAGTTGAATTTACATTTTCATCATGCCATTCCTGTTTGTCAAAATAAGAGAACTTAAATGTCATATTTTGACAGAATTTAAAATTCTCTTTTATTCTGTTATCAACATACTATTTCTCATGCTTTTAAGTTATTTAAAATTAATTTGGAAGCCCACTGGAAAGAATAATTATAAAATCCAAAATACAGTGTTTGAGCAAATAAAGACAAGTTTAAAATTTTTAGTGCTTGCTCCATAGTCCTTAGGGGATTGTGCTACAAATGCAAAGGCCAATCCTCTCTGGCTCTGATGGTTTGACTCTGCCAGCAGTTCTACAGGAGAAAGATGAATAGTCTCCTCATGTGGTTTACAGCCTCAGAAAACTTCATGATGGAGAGTCAATTGTTGGTAGATTTCAGTTCAGTGACAATGAGTGAGAGTTATGACAGTAAAATGTGTTCCAAAATAAATGAATTCTGATATGAATATTCATTTAATTGAGAAATTCATTATATACTAAATTTTTTTTTATTAAAGAATACATTGTTGTTGTTGTTGTTATGTGCCATCGAGTCGTTTCCGACTCATAGCGACCCTATGCACAACAGCTCTAAACCCTGCTCTATCCTGCGCCAACCGCACCGCCTCTGACACATCCATCCCGATTACCCCAGTCACCGAATCAATCCATCTCATAGAGGGTCTTCCCCTCCTGCGCTGTCCCTCCACCCTCCCAAGCATGATGTCCCTCTCCAAGGACCCGTCCCTCCTGGCAACATGTCCAAAGTATGTCAGACGAAGCCCCAGAATCTTTGCCTCCAAGGAGTAGCTTGGTTTAATCCTCTCCAAGATGAATCTGTTTGTTTTCCTGGCAGTCCAAGGTACATTCAGTACCCTTCTCCAGCACCACAGCTCAAAAGCATCCACTCTCCTTCTGTCCTCCCTAGTCATTGTCTAACTCTCTGATGCATAACAAGCGATTGCAAATACCATGGCCTGTATCAGGTGCACCTTAGTCTCCAGAGAGACACTGTTGCTCCTGAGTACCTTTGAGAGGTCCCTAACAGCAGACTTTCCCATCGCGATACGCTTTTTGATTTCCTGACTGCTGGTACCAAGAGTGTTGACTGTGGAGCCGAGCAAAGTGAAGCTGTGAACACTCTCAATCTCTTCATCATCCATCCTGACGCTGCCAATTGGTCCAGTGGCGAGAATCTTTGTCTTCTTGACATTGAGCCTTAGTCCATACTGAAGGCTGCAGTCCTTGACCCTTCGCAGCAAGTGCATGAGGTCCTCCTCAGTTTCAGCAAGCAAGGTTGTGTCATCTTACATTACAGAACAAATTATCTCAGTTTGTACATGTAGAAATCTATTAACATTGATTACATTCTTCAAGTTGTGCAACCCTTTTATCCTTTTCCACATTGTTAGTAATTTATTTAATTTTGACTGGAAAATGAGAATCATTGATCTAAATCATACACTTCTATGTATTATAATTTCCTTCAGTTTTTGTGGTGGCTTTTTTTTTCTCTCCTTTTTCTTCCTTTCCTAAATCCTATCATATTCAGTATTCATTTCCTACCATAAATTTTGAGATCGTATATTGCCTGTGCTAACTTTGAAGATTTTACTGTCATTCACTCACTGCTATTGGAATAGGTGCAGAACTAACCCTCCAATGAATTTCGAAAGGCTATATTAATTGCAGGGTGGGCATTGCCTGTCTTTCACTCTCAACATAAAAGGTGGATTAAAGTAGCATGCCTTTGGGTTCAGAGCACAACTCCTTATCTACTATTGCTTTTGAGTCAGAACTGAATCAAAGTGGACCTTCAGTGAGTTCTCAGAGATTGCAAATTGCATGGGAGGAGATCACCTGTCTTTCTCTCATGGAGCAGCTTGTGAATTCTGACTTCTTGTCTTTGAGTCAGCAACACAGCTTCTTACCCACTAGGCCACCAGAATTTCCTCCTTAAACAAGTGGTTAATCACCAGAGTTCCAGTTTTATACATTGCTGCTGTTGTAATGTGATGTTGATTCATTAATGATCCATAGCTGAACCTCCAGCAGGTTTTAAAGGCAGTTAATCAATCGCACAGTAGTAGATTTCCCTTCTTTCTTCTGTTGAGCCATTGGATTTAAACTGCAGGTCTTATGGATTGCAATACACCACTAAGCCACCAGGCCACAATTTATAATGATGTCTGCAGTCCTCAACTCTAATTGTAAGCTTGTTCAGATTTGAGATGTTATTTTGGGGTTCTTCCTCCCCCTTTAGTGCCAATCAATTAAAAAATAATTTCTGACTTTTTTTCAGTTGCTATTCTGTGATCTGTCAGTTAGAGCTGCAGTAGGAAACTAGCAGTTCTTAACAACTATAATCTTACCCTACAACTCTCTACTTGTCCTGAAATAGCTTTTGGGTAGTAAGGTTTTTTTTATAGCTCTGTGCTTTATTTTCTTTGAATTAAAGGATTTTTGGTTTCATATTTACTGTTGAGAAACAAGAATTGACATCTGTTTTAGCAAGTCTTGCAAACTATATTATTTTCCTAGAGCTGCAGTAATAAGATATCATAGCTTATAAGTACCCGCATTTATTGTCTCACCTTACTGTAGACTGAGTGTCCAACCATGTTCATTCTTCTGAAGCATTGAGGAACATCTGTTCCATGTCTTTCTCTTCACTTTTGGTAGCTCCTGACATTTCTTGTTCATACCTCTATGTCTTTTTTCCTCGTTGTTAAGCAACTTGGGCCCACTGACATTGAATTGGTTCCATTAATATATAGGACAGAACAGAAGTGTCCCATAGGGTTTCTGAAGCTGTAAACCTGTACAGAATTAGACTACCCCGCCTTTCTTTGAGTAGCAACTCGATGGGTTCAAGTGCTTACCTCATAGGACCACCAGAAATCCAGTCCTGTAGTATTAAGAGCTATTCTATTACAATATGACCTCATGTTAGCCTAACTATTAACATCTTCTAACACTTTATTTCTGAAAGTCATATTCACATGTACAGGGTTAGGAATATATCTTTGGAGATCACATTTTAATGTGCAACACTAACAGATAGTATTTTTTAACTGCATATACTTAATGTATTAGAAGTCACAGACCAAGCTATATAAATAGAGTGAGTTGATTTTTGTGTTTTATTCAATATTTTAGTGACACGAATCCTTAATTATTTTGATAGTTCACCACACCTATAAGACAGACTGTAATATAGTTTATTTAAAGACAGATTACAGTGTAATTGTTGTAATGATGATAAATCACTCAAGTAGGTAATCAGATTTTATAAAATACAGGATCAACAAAAACTGAGAAAATTTTGATCTCCATACCAAAGATCATGAAGAATGGCGTAGCCCTCCACAACATATCTGAGATTGTCATGAGTCAGGCCAACTAAAAGACAAATAGCAATAAAGGTATAATGTAGATTATAAGTACGATACGTGTGTTCTCACATAAATGTATTTGCTTATTGATTGTTGTTGCATTTTGTATATATGTGCAGTTTGATGTGCAGTCCCTCCTTTCAGTAAATGCATTTAATTTCAGTCCTAATGGAATTTTCTTATTCCCCATCTACCTCTCCCTAGGTGCTATTCAAGTATTGGGAAAGTACAGGATGCCTTTATATCTTATAGGCAGTCTATTGATAAATCAGAAGCAAGTGCAGATACATGGTGTTCAATAGGGTAAGACTTGGTATACAACTAATACTATTACAACTGATACAAAGAGATGATTGTTTCATATGTATCTTTTTTATAGCATGTTATAAAACCAAGCAGTTCTTCCTTGACTCATTTTTTTCTCTTTCTAGTGTACTCTATCAGCAGCAAAATCAGCCTATGGATGCTTTACAGGCCTATATTTGTGCTGTACAATTAGATCATGGTCATGCTGCAGCCTGGATGGACCTTGGCACTCTTTATGAATCCTGCAATCAGCCTCAGGATGCCATTAAATGCTACTTAAATGCGACTAGAAGCAAAAATTGTAATAGTACCTCTACACTTGCAGCAAGGATTAAATATTTACAGGTAAAGTGTTAAAATAGTATTGTAAAGGCACTTCTTTCCCTAGTACATTCAGGCAGCTGGAGGGTGGCTGGAAAGTTTGTGTAGTGTGTTTTGATGTCTATAATTTGTTATCATACTGTAAACATTATCATAGCTTGTAATATTCTTTTACTTTTCACTTTACGTAAGATAATGCAATATTTAAGAGATGCTCTTTTTACACATTTACTCTGTTAATGCATATTTATTTTTTTTCTATGTACTGTCTACATTTTTAAGTTGTCATAGCCTTTTAGTGAAAAGAACAAAAACACTCTTTCACTCTTGATTGAAGACAGCTATGAGAACTCAGAAAATAAATCTCAACTTTGTTCTGATTTTCACAAAGATTTTATATTACAGTTACCCTTTTATAGTTGGTGTATTTCTAAATCCCCAAATATAGATTCTATTTTCTTTTACATGCAGTTAGCTATAGTGTTCAGGAAGATTTAGTGGACTTGCTCTTGCTCAAATAGGCTTGTGTTAAATATGCTTTTTACATAATTTTTCCTAGGCTCAGTTGTGTAACCTTCCACAAAGTAGTCTACAGAATAAAACTAAATTACTTCCTAGTATTGAGGAGGCATGGAGCCTACCAATCCCCGCAGAGCTTACCTCCAGGCAGGGTGCCATGAACACAGCACAGCAGGTGAGAAGTTGGGTTATATTCTGCAGGTGCCCAGCTTTAAGGGTTCTTTTCAATCTGTAGTGGTCAAGCTTATTTTACTAAGCACAGGAGATTATATATATATATATATGATATGATATGATTGCAAAGGGATTCTAGATCAAAATACAACTCCCTCTGATTTGGGGTGAAATTTTGGGGTACCAACTTATAACCTTTGTGGATTTTCAAAGAAATTTCTTTAAAATAAAATACTGCAGTGGTTTATTTAATTTTGAAAAGTTTTTCAAAGGAAGGTACACATTCCTCCCATTGATCATTCATGTGATTGATTTTTAATAATGGCAATAAGCATTTTCCACATAGTTTTGAAAAATAAACAGCTTGTAACATTTTATAATTTGAAGGAATGAATTAAGAATATATAGAACCCTATTTTTGTCTTCCTTCTGTGATTCATAGGCATGTAAACCTCATCATCCAAATACTGAACCTGTATTAGGCCTCAGTCAAACACCAAATTCACAGCAATCCTTGCCACTACACATGATTTCTTCTAGCCAAGTAGATGACCTGTCCAGTCCTGCCAAGAGGAAAAGAACATCTAGTCCAACAAAGGTATATATTTTAGAGAAATAGAACATCCCCATCAAGACAGAAGCATCAGCTGCCCTGAAATTGTGTAGTCTGAACATTTCCTGTCCTTTATTTTATATCTGTGGACATGAAAGAGTGAAAGGTTTGAATTTTTCCATCTTTGATTCTAGCATCATGTTAAATACATAAGTTATAGGCAAATTTGCATTCATCAAGTCATTTTTTTTCCATTTCCCTTCCTTTGATATATTAATATACTCTTCATTATCACTTTCTCCTGACATAAGAAATTGAATGTTGGATCTAGTGAACAGTGTAATATCTGGGTTCGCCATTATAGCTTAGGGGGTGGGCTTTTTTGGGTGGCTTATTAAAATTCAGGAAATGTTTCAATTTTTATGTTTATGCTAAATTATATTAAAATAATTTAATATTATAGCATCTTTTATGTATACTCTTAATTTAGTCATTTGACCTCTGTTGGTCATTCTTAATGCTATGAACTTAAGCAAGTACCTTTTTTTTAAAAAAAAAAATCAATTTTTCTCAGAATACTCCTGATAATTGGAGTAGTGGCCGTGCTGTGTCACATCCTCCATTACAGCAACAAGCTCATTCATGGTGTTTGACACCCCAGAAATTACAGGTATGTGAGATATGCTTTTGCTAGATCATGTTTCCTGTTAAAAGATAGTAAACTTTTAACTTTATGTATTCTTAATGTTGAATGATTGTAAACTAAATTAATAGGTAAATAAGTGAAATGATCCCACATTTATCAGAAACTATTTTATTCCTTTTTTGTTTTGTTTTTTATTTTTAAGAGATAATATGTTGTCATAGAGACCTATGGTAGGTTAGTGGTAAAGAGCAGCACTGATAACACGAAGGCAAATGGTTTGAATCCACCAGCCACTTCACAGTAAAAAGATTAAATCTCCTCCCATTTTTTTACTGCCTCTTTGAAAACCATCTAGAGGGCCAGCAATGTATTAGTTCCAACTCTGTGAAATGTAACAACAATATATTCACATAGTTCATAATGTAGTGGATTTGAATATTGGATATAATACGGTAAGGTCTAACCTGGTCCCTGTCATTTCAGTTTTCTTCCTAACAGATAGTATCACTCATTTCTTATGTATTTTATCTTCCAGACCATTTCACGTCAGTATACGCAGAACTTCCTTATTCTTTTATGGCTGCATTATATTTCCTTACGTAGGTGCCATGCCTATATTTTTCTAGATCCTCAATTTTGGTCAATCAGGTTGTTTTAACATTGCCTAATCCCCAAAATTTTTTACTTTGAACACACTTGTCATAAGGCATATTGAAACTTTAAAATTGTCTATGTGAGTATGTTGCTTACTATTAAAATTTCATGCTCTTTTACCACAGAGATCACATTACAGAAACTTTTTCAAGTAAATGCTTACTGCTTCTTACCTTTGCAGAATTCTTTTCTTTTTTTAAAAAAAAATTTATTAATTTTAATGAACAGTTACAGAGATTTTGGATTTCCATTCATTCCTTGTTGCACTATTTTCTTTACCTCCCAGTTCGTTCCTCCTTCCCCCCCCCCTTGAAAGTCTGTTTTAATTGACCCATTGCCACAGTGCTTGTCAAAACCGGTTCTGATTAATATCCTTTGTCAGTGTGTCCTTTGCCATTCCCTATCACTCCTCCCTTAGAGAGATTTCACCCTGATTCATAAGGAAAAGGAGATGGCATATTCTCTTAGTTACTTCCTCCTGAAAAGGGACAGTGTAGGTTTCAGGGTGAAGATCTTCTCTCACTACTCTAAAGGGCCCCTTTGACAATAGGAAACACGTAAAACTGTTGTGGAGATTGATTTTGGAATTTAGATGCACTGTTATCAATTGTGCTTAGCCATACATGTTCATATCCTTGAAGATGCATCATGGAACTG